ACACAGAAATATACATTTGTAGGTGCTAAATCCATACTGATCAGCTTATCTGGACACACAGGCCTCAGGTACAAACAGCAGCAGCGCTTGGCCTCCCTGATCTGCGGATCAGCACACACAGGAGCCTCTGCACCGTGCCCTGCTTTCCACTCAGTGCTCTGGGCACCGAGCGTGGAGCATCCCTGGGCTGCTGCCAGGGGCTGCACCTCTGATCCACCTGCCCAGCCTGGCGAGGAGGGGGCGAGGGAGGGATCAGATGGGGTGTTAGAAATCTCTGATTAGCTGGAGTCTCACTGCAGATTACCAAAGGTTCCTATATTTTGCCTTTCAGCGCTGTCAGTCGCCCCCAGTAACCTGTGGGAGTTGAGGAATTTCAGCACCTGGCAGATAAAACCTCCAGAGCAAAGCTGTCACCCAGGTCTTTGTCATGCAAACTTGAGGCCGGGTTCAATAACATCCTGTTCCTCTTCTGCATTGCGGAAGCCTTGAAAATTGATTTTCTGTTTTGCCACTGAGTTCAGTGGAACCAGACGTCAGCCCTCCAAGGGAATTGTATTCCTGTAGATTGTAGCTACTTCTGAAATCCTTAATTTCACATCCTTAAATAGCAAACTTCGTGACAGACCAGGTGTGGGTGCAAACTTTGCTGGACATTGTTGACCAATGCTGGGTTATTAACTCTCTTTATGGTCTGGGATACCCTTTTTTTTTCCCCTTTCAAAAAGCATTTCTCAGACTTGAAGTCCTAATCCAAAATGCACAGGAATAAATACAAATTTGTGTATTGATCACCAGAAAAGGATTTTTAAGGGAGTTGATCACTGCTTATAGCAGGAATGCATTTTTAAAAGAAACAAGAAATGTAACCTGTTAGGGTAACATTAATCCAGGGAAAACACTTTCTGAAGCAGCCAGAGCTTGTTAACATAGCCAACACCTAAGGCAGCATTGTGTCTTTAAGCTCTACTAATATTGAACAATAATAATTTTGGTGGAGGAAAATCTTCCCCTCTTGCGGAACAGAAACAAGACAGATTATTGACTGCCATCTAGAAAGACAGATGCTGTGGCCCTCGGAGTCTATTAATATTTGATGCTGATGGATGTGAGCTGGCAGCCTGAGTTATTAATGGAGTTTGGTTCCTTGGACCTCACCCTCAATCCATGGGGAAGAATTAACCATAACAAGAACTGGATGCCCAAAGCTCTTGGGGTGCTGGGAAGGGCTGTCAGTTCCAGCAAAAATGGATGTTTCTGAAGTGTTTATAGGCATGGAAAGTCATAGGTGGGGCTGCTTAGGTCACTGCCACCATCCAGTCTGATTTCAAGGGGACTTTTAGGGTCCCAGGAATTGTAACTTCCCTCCTGTATCTTTGCCATGTTGGGGTGCTCCCCTCAGGCCTGGATTTCAAACAAGAGGCTCAGTGGTAATTTTTGAGCAGGGATGAAGTGTGGGACACCCTGTCCTTGGTGGCACTGAGGTGGCCTCTCCCAGGCTGGGGTGATGCAGAGCAGAGAGCAGGAATGTGCTGCTCTACACAGAGCAGGGCATTTCTCACAGCTGGCCCTGACCCCACATTCCCTAAAGAATTTTTCCATTGTTTATGTCAAAGTCAGATTTGACCCCTGAAATTAGAAATAACCCAGTGGATAGATTTGGGGGGGTATTTTGATAAACTGGCACTTCTAAGTGAAAATATTGAAAATGAAGCACCTCTGAAAGTTTGTGATGTCCATATGGGTCATTCTGATTTGGAACACAGAGATGGAAAATACCAAGTTATTTATAGCTCAATTTCCTAATATAGCTTTAACATTTCCAGGGGTATATGTTTGATTGAATTAGCTACTCCTTCCTAGCATGGATACCACATCCAGGCATTGCACTATCCTCATTAACCTCCCAATCTTAAAAAAAAAAAAAAGAATAATCAACATAAGGAGCACAGCTGTTGATTAATTTTACTAAATAGGATAGAAATATAAAGTACCATATTGCAAGAGTGAAGATTCAATACACACAATTTGAAATCAGTTTATTAGAATATATAACTCATTAACAGCTGGATGCATACACTGCAGCATTATCCACTCAGGCAGGTGGTGAGAGGGAGGTGGAATTTACATATCTTTAACAGTACCTGAATGCATTTCATTTCAGAGGTCATTCTCCCAAATCAAGTTCAAAATGTTAATAACAAGGTGTGCATTTATAATTAATAAAATCTTAGAGCCAGTGCTATAGTTCAAGTGCATTTTCCTCTTATGTAATTAAGAAGTTAAGTGTATTTGGCAGTTGTCACTCAGAGAGCTCTGGAGGTCTCACTTGTCAAACCTGGGGATAGAAATCTCATTAAACCAGGTATTTTTTTCAGTTAAGGTTTGTTTGCAAAGTACATCAGTGAATGGTGGGCAGCCAGAATGCCCAGCTCTGTCAGTCCATAAAGCCAAGTACATTAAAGTAAATGCCAACACTCAAAGGCTTGGAATAAACAGCCTGATGGTCACCTTGTGACAATTACAGAATATTTAAGGTTGGAAAAGGCCTCAAAGACCACCAAGTCCAACCATCAACCAGCACCACCACTGTGTTCACTAAATCATGTCCTCAAGTGACACATCCACATGTTTTTTAAGATTTCAGGAAAGGTGATTCCACCACTTCCCTGGACAGCCTGTTCCAATGCTGGACAGCTCTTCCTGTGAAGAAATTTTCCCTAATATCCATTCTAAACCTCCCCTGGTGCAACTTGAGACCATTTCCTCACCTGATTATCCTGTCACTTGTTACCTGAGAGAAGAGACTGACACCCACCTCACTACAACCCTTTTTCAGGGAGTTGTATCCCTTTTCTTTGGGATAATCCAAAGTGATTACAGAAAACCAGTGAATCCAGTCCAGTTATGCCTGGCCAGGGAGCACTGCCCCCAACACCAGCTGCTCTGTGGTCACAGAACATCAGCTGAGACACTGGAAATCCTCCTGCTGCCTCCAGCCCTGGCCCAGATGGTGTTTTAGAGGTGTCAGGATGTGGGAATATGATTTTGGGGTGATTGATGGTTGGATTGGATGATCTTCACTCTCTCCTAACCCTGATGATTCTGTGGTTCTGTGGTTAGTGAATGTGACTCCCCAAGGGGTATTTTAACTCCACATCACTCTGCTCCCCTTTCCTTTTCAAAGGAATTTTCTTTTCCTTCTGGATCACTAGTTCAAATCCAGATAAGGTCAGTTGTCATAGAAATTATTAGCAGTACCAGCAGTTCTGTGTAGTACATGAAATGAGTTGGGAGTTTCATTCACACAGGATAAGGGTTCCTAAGTGGCACTAATTGGCTGTCTAATTGTCACACACAGGAGAAAGGCAGAGGATTGATTAGGCGTGGAGACTGAATGCCCCTCTGCCAGCCCGGGTTCCTGGAGCTCATTCCATAGGCATGCTGGCAGGGTAATGAGGGGCAGCCTGCTTTGGATTTGCTGCCTGTCAAGGCAGCATCTTTTCCTGCCAGGCCTTTGCAGGGGCACTTGTTTTACTCCACCAAGGTCAAAGATAGCATCTTTTACAAACAGTGCCTTCACTCAAAAATCAGAGACTCTCAGGATTTACTTGTGAGCAGTTAACTGTTTCCTTTTCTTCCTCCTGAAACAAAGTTTTTCTAAAAGGTCTAAAATATGATGAGTCACCCTGGTGTGAGGCAGAACTGCTCCAGCAAAGCAGATGGGGGTTTATGGTGCTCAGAAATCTGTTCATATTTTCTTGTGCTGTCTGGGTGTCTGCTGTGTGATATACAGGCTCCTGGAGGTACTTGTCACAGCACAGGGAAGCTGACATGGTGCACATTTCACTCCTAATAAATGGATCCTCCTATCTAACAGTGAAGCCTCTCACGTGCAAAAATACATTTTGACCAACACCTTTTCCCCTGAGCTATGACACAGGTCACACCATGCAATGGAGCTACTTTTTATCTTGTAGTAGGTTCACTTTCCCTGGCATAGAACTAAATTATTTAAGTTTGACTCACTGAAGTAGTAAATTTAGGAGCTAATTTGCAATGTGAAAGTCAGGATTACACACAGAGGAAAAGGAAGCCAAAATACCTTGTATATGTTAATGTGTAGACCCAGCTGTGGGACTCAGTAAGTTTACTAAGGCTTAAACCTCAATTAGTGAGGTTAGACCACAATTGCTTTAAACCTTATTGTTCTCACATTTTATTTCCCTTGTTGTATCAGATGAACAGTATTAGTAAGAACTGTGTCTATCCTTCCAACCACACAAGCTGATCAGTGCATACAGCACACCAGAATGCAATGTTACAGCATTCTATATTTCTGTAAAATATGAGTATTTATTCTCCTTTCCCTCCCTTTGCCCACACCTAGAGCAGAAATAGGACGGAGGCCACGTTTCTGTGTTCTGCTGTGTGCCTCCTGTCTCTGACACGCACATCACTCCTGCTCTGCCTTCTTCCTAAAGTCACAATCTCATGCAAATTAATTGAAAACAAATGCAGGTACCAGCTACGCATCAAAAAGGTCTGATGCACCTGCCATGTCGTTTTCCTCTCTGCCAACCTGTGGAAGATGAGCACGTACGAGATCCTTTAGGTTTTTAACAACCCTATTCTTAGAATATATTTTCCAAGAACCGCAGAGCAATCTCTGCACGGTTTCAGACTGTATATTTTGTGATTAGTGCTTCGTAAGTGATGTTTTGCTTAATGATCTAACATCTGCTCTAGGAGGTTTGTTTTTGTAACTTCCCCACCTCCTGCTGAATGAATGCCAGAAACTTGTCCCTTTCCTCCAAGTCAATCAAAGCACTAATTGCATCATAATCATGGGAAGCAGCGGTGACTGCTCAAGTGCTGAAGACTCAGCAATCAACTCACAACACTCTGCTCACTGTTCAGAGAGAGAAAGCTTCCCTGTGCCGAGCTGGGAATTTCCTACATGCCAGATTCCTTTAGCTGACTCTGACTTTTCTGGGTTGCAGGGAGATGACTGCACCATTCCCTGCATGGCGGGGACCTACGGAACCAATTGCTCTTCGGTCTGTAACTGCAAGAACAATGGCACTTGTTCCCCTGTGGATGGGCTGTGCTACTGCAAAGAAGGTAAACAAAATTCACATTTAACAGGTCCCTGCCATCAATGCCTGTCCCCTTTGAAAGTGGCACAGCTGTGCAGTCAGGAACTTCACTATTTTCTTGTCCTCCCCAGTATCCCAGCTTAACAGGGGCTGGACTGCAAGCCAGGGGCCAGACTTCTCTGCTCTGCTGCAGAAACCTGTCACAGAACTGAGTGTGAGGGCAGAAACACTGCTCATCTCCAGGGGAAATGCAGAACAATCCTCTGGCTGCTAGGTTTTTAGGCCTTTGCTGCCCTGTTTCTCCCAGATTCCAAAGCCACTGGGCACAGGAGTGGGGGCAGCTTCCTGCCTGTGTGCCCTGTAGCCCCTGGCACTGGGCTATGCCTGGCCTTGGTCATCCTCACCAGCCTTGACCTGACTCCTGCCTGCCCATCTCCACCTTGGGCTGGTCTCATTCCTGGTGCCCTGGGCTCCTGGCTCATCCCAGCTGCCAGCCCTGTCCTTGGGCACTATGGGGTGGGCCCTGGCTCTCTGCCCTTGCTGCCATCCTCAGCTGCTCATTATCCTGTACCCTGGCATGGTGACACCCCAGCCTTGTGCAGGTGTCCTCTGTCTCCTGAGCTAGCACAGGGTTCAGGATGTGGCTGTCATTTATTTGGGGAAATAAGAAGTCTTTCCTGCTCCAAGGTGACTGACATATTTTCTACCCACATGTGTCCATAATTCCCTCCTGGACGTGGTGGTGAGCACATCCCATGGATCCAGTAACCACCTGAGAATTCCTCCACTGCTCATGAAACAATGGCTCTTCTGTTCCCCCAAAATCCCAACATGAGCTACACCTGTATGACATACATAAGCCCTAAAACAGAAGTGAGGCAAATAACAATAAAATCTGGCATTTCAAACATGAATTAATGGATCACTGTAGAACCCCATTTAATGAGGGTGTATAAACCATGAGTTACTGCTCAACTCCACGACACAGAGCTGCAGTGTAATGAAAGTCATTGTGCTCCTGGTAGTTAAGATTTGAGCCTTAATGGCTAGAAATTATGGCATTGGTCTTTTTTTAGGTGTAGTAGCTGCTTTAGATTAAATAGCACTCTCAAAAAAAGAAAAAAAATTACGTACGAAACAGGCAGCATCACATGAAAAGTTCTTGCAGTCCTGTAGGTCAGAAGGTCTCCAGCCTGACAGACAAGGACTGCCCAGCAGATCCCAGAAAGGCATCAGGCACCTAAATCTGGTTACAGCCAAGGCTGTGATACCTCCATCTGTGTTTAGAGATGCTGGGAGCTGGAGCTGGGAGGTCACAATGAAAGGGTCAGTCTTTGACCCCAAGTTAGTTTTCATTTACACCAAGAAACTGCTCCTAGAAACAGAGAGCTGCAGCTTGCCAGCTGCTTGTCTTGCTGTTTTCATGAAAACATCCCAGATGATGTTTCTCTCCCTTTTTCTTAGGGTGGCAAGGAGTGGATTGCTCTATTCCCTGTTCAAGTGGAAGCTGGGGTCTGAACTGTAACCAGACGTGTTCCTGCAGCAATGGAGCGTCCTGCAGGCCAGCTGATGGCTTCTGCCTCTGCTCCCCAGGATGGCAGGGGGAGTTCTGTGACCAGCCTTGTCCTGTGAGTTCAAATAACAATTTGGGGTGGTCTTCCACCACCTTAAATCACAGTCCCCATAGCTCTGCTGAACAGAGAGCAGGGGAGGATCTCCATTTGTCTGTGATGTCTGAGGAAATCAAGTGTAAATAACAGATTGGGGTTCTAGCAGTCAACTGGATGTATTATACTTTGCATTGTATTTTATCAGAGCTATTGTTGTGTTATCTGCAGTTTCTTGAATGTCATTTTTTAAAGTGATTCCTCATTTGGTTCTGTATGGAAACATTAGGCACTGAGTTTCTGTCTTCTCTGTATGTTAATTTAAAAAATGCAACTCAGCATTAAGAGGGACATGATAGATGATTTTGCACATTGCAGAACAAAAAGCTGATCACTGAGAGGCTTTTTTACTTCTGTTCTTGAAGGATGGAACATATGGCCTTAATTGCAGCGAGCGTTGTGACTGCAACCACGCGGACGGGTGTGACCCTGTCACCGGGTACTGCTGCTGCTTGGCAGGCTGGACAGGTAAAACCAGCAATTCCCTTTGCAGACCTTGGGGCTTTGGTTCATGTTGGGGTTTGGGGGATTATGTTGGTTTGTTTGGCTTTGCTATTGCATCAGTTATAGCCCTGGACTTTTGACTGCAAACTTCTAAATAATAGATTGAGACAAGATCAGCTGAACTTGCCCATATTTAAATCACTCGTGATGGTGACAATAATTGGCATTCATTAAATTTGTATTCAGATGAGTTGAAGATGGCTCCAAGCCTGCAGCCAGATGTTAGCCTTCTGTAAAAGCATCCTCAGGAGGGATGCAGATCATCCATAATCCTGCAGAGTTTTTCTCCTTGAACTGCCCTTTCCACAGGGGTGCAGTTGTGGGACGGTGAATCCCAGGACCATCATACCTGGGCATTTCTGATGAGTCATTACAGCTGCTCCAGCATACAAAACTCTGAATTTTCCCATTTTCCAATGATTCTTGTCACAGGGTAGTTGCAGAGAGCAGATTAATGCTGGTTTGACACAGCTGTTGTGATTACACAGCAACAGAGAGAAATATTCAGTGGAGTCCAGGCTGGAGTTCTCAGCACAATTAGACCTGCACTTGATTCCACAATGATGCTCTCTTTCAGCTTTTGACAGCAGTAGGGGGCAAGTTATTGACCCAACCATTTCACACTTTGCTGCCTAAAATCCTGGTTAATCTCTCTCTGCTCTCTGTTGAGGCCTTGGGTGGAAATAAAGTTATGTTCTATATACTGCAGAACCACCAGTGGCACTGACAGTCAAAATGCATTTATATTAACAGCAAGTCATTTGGAAAATTTAATTGTTTTTCAAACAAGTACAAGTTGGAAGGATGCATGGAGCAAGGCAGGCTGATCAGGCAGCCAACATTTGGGATAGTGTCACCTTTTCCATTGATTTATGCCTTAAACCAACACAGGCCTTATGTTTCTGATGGACAGGGCATCCCACAGCAGCCCAGCTCCCAGGAGCATGAAGCAAAAGCAATGAAATTATGCCTAAAACATACCATGGAAATAATATTTTAAAATTTTTTAAAAAGTAAAAGTACTAAGTTCTCCATGTTGTGTACAACAAAGCTACGTTTCTAAGATACTGGGCATGTAACCCTGAAAAGGACATTTTTCCCCCAAGAAAATCCATTTTATAAGCTCACTTGTATCCCCTCCTTCATTCTCTTGCCTTCCTCACTGGCTGGGCAGCATTTATCTTTCTCTGAACCTCCTTGCTATCAATGTATCCATCTATCAGGCTTTAAAACTCTACTGTTCATTTACTGATGATCAGCAGAGAAACAGCTGGCAGATTTTCCTGTAGTCACTGTGAGCTTCTTCAAGGGAAAAAATGGCTTTTAAAATTAGAGTAATTTGAAGAGAGATTCTTATATACACCTACTCTAAAAGTTTATTACACATCTTCTGGATGTAGCATTCCAGAGGAAACTGCAGGGACTGACCTTTGCAGGCAATGCAGACTGAAGGTGTAGCTTTTCCTCAAAGGCATTTGCAGCAAATACTTTGTGCTTACTCGCATGCATATCTGTAAATGGACATCAAATGCAGATACTAATTAATTAAAGGTAAGAATTTCTGATGCCCTTCTTTTAATTTCCACATTGAGCAAGGTAAGTGTATCTTAACTTGGAGGGGCTTTGCTGCAGCCTAAGCACTTTATCCATCAGTGTATCCATTCTGCAGTTCTGGAATTCTTCTGTTCAGGATCACATTTCAGGGAGGAAAATATTATATCCATATTTGAGACCAGGTTGGAGTTGAAATGGTGACAGGACTCTGTAAGGTGGAAATGCTGATAGACAGAACCAACACGTGTTTTGTCAATTCTGTTCCAATGTTTTTTCCACTTGGCTTGGCACCAGACACAAGGATAAATTCTGCTCCTAACAGTTTGAAAGTATGTCATTTAAGAAACTCTTCAGCTAGATAATTATATTTTCATATTAAGGAGTATGGCATCAGTGAAAGATTAATCTTATCTGCAGTTGTTGTGAACTGGGCCATGATGTGTATTGCGGTGCATTTTATTAATATGAGGTGATAAATAATTCAGGCTGAAATTTTTGCTTTCTGATTTTGGTACTAATTAGGCATGGCCTGAAAAATATCAGGAAAGTTCAGGATCATGGAACTTCTGAGGGTTCTTCTGCCCACTCACACCAAACAGAGAATTCACGTGGCTTTCTGATCCTAATAGCACAAAACTTCATCTGAAACAGCATATTCTGTATGTTCATCCCAGACGTGGGACTCCCTCTTGATGTCTCTGTTTTATGTAAAGATCAAGGGGAAGATTGAACCCATTTTCTTTAAAGTGGTTTCAAGATGTTACTGATATAAACCTTCAGGGACTGATAGATGGTAAGAGCATGGAGGAGGACTGGGAAAAGAAGGAACAAGTCATGTCCAGAGTAGCACACAATGTAAAGTAATAGCACTCTACCATCCTTTTATTATGTCCTGATTGCTACCCAAGACTATTATTCAGGACAATGACCTTCTGTGGATACCAGCTGGGGGAAGGTAATTTTCAGGAGCTGAGTGTCCCTGGCAGATGGGAAGATGATGAAGAGATCCCCACGTCTCAAGCAGGAGATCACAAAGCTGTGCAAACCAGCTGGGTGCATAAATAAGCACAGAGGCAGCAAGCTGCTCCGAGCCGTGCCCATCCCCTCCCTGTCAGCTCCGTGGGGAATTCCAGCCAGAGGCAGGATCAGCTCTGGGCGTGCTTGTACCTGGTGTCACTGCTGCCAGTCACCGGCCAGGTGACACGTGGTGCCACCCATGGCTTTGGAGATAGCTCAGCAAGAACAGAAGCCCAAAACTACATTGGCAAAATGCTGTTGTATGGTAAAAACAAAGTGAAACTTGTTGAAATATTGGGCAAAATCAGATCTGTGACCTGCTGGTGCCATGCAGAGCTGAATTTCCCTCCACAGGAAGGACATGTGAGATGCAGTGACACTGAGGGCTTGCATTGGATGGAGTTCTCCAGGCTGGGCATGTAACTTCATCTATACAAATAGTACCCTGGAAATCCAAACAAGAGGTGCTCATACCTACTGCTGGGTTGAAAAGGAAAAGTCTTGCTCTCAGAGGACCGAGTCTTGATTGCTCAGGCTGTTTTTTAAGGATTAATAAGGCTTTCTTTCTCCATCTTTGCTGTGCATTTTAGGTACAGACACTTCTTTCTGTGCTTGCAGCTCTCTGTGTGCACAGGTCCTTAGAGCTCCCTACACACCAGACATTTGGGGAAGAGGTCTTATTTTATGTACACTCAGGTAGAAATGAAAATGCTCAGTGCTAATTACATTTCATTTATTGGGGGTCCCCGAATCCCCCACTGAATCCACAGAGGGAATGGAAACACAGAATGCTGCATGGCAGAGCAGCTCCTGGAAGTCCTTCACAAGCAAACAGATCCTGGAGTAGCAGGATGAGTCTCATCTGTCCCAGGTGCAACCTCCTGTCCTGGATGCTCAAGTGACAAGGTTATAAATTTCATTTAGGCTCCTCTTAATTACTGTAATCTGAAAGTGGACAGGAAAGGACCAGCTGCTTGGTGGCCTTGCAGGATGACAGTGCTGCTGTGCCAGATGTAATGCTGAGGATCTGCAGATGACAGCTCCAGCCAAGTCCTGTGGGATGCAGGATGAACTTCAACCCCCTCAGCTTGGTCCTACCTCAGGCAGCTGCTGGCAGCAGGTTTTTTACCAGAAATGGCTTCCTCACAGATTCCAGCTGCTTGAAACTGTGTAGCCTGTAGCTCCTTCCCTCAGTAATCCCTCAATAATTAAATTAGAGCTGCTGGCCTGTCCTCTGATTTCTGGAGGTGCTTGATCAGAGCCAGGTAAGACTCCCCAGGAAGACAGACCCAGGTATTGCCCATCCTGCCCCCAAGACCCGAGTCCATCCATTTTCCCACTCCCAGACTGATCCCAGAAGCAGAGGCACTGGCTGCTCCTCATGCTGAGCTCTGCTCCTCCCCAAGATGAGCCAATTGCTCCAGGTTAATTGTGGCAGCGTGTGTTTTGTTACCCTTTCAGCTCTTACACTGGGTTTAAATGGGAAGTGATCTGCAGGGGGATAGATTCCACTCCTCTAAATGCTAAGGTCAGTTAAAATCCTGTTTATCTGAATTCCTTTAATCTGAAATGCTGTCTTATCTGCATCGTGTTCTGCCTTTTTTCTTGTGTGGTGCTCTGGTTTTGCAGACCTGCTGTGGTGATGGTATCTCATCTCCCCACTGAGCTTGGGTGCCCAGAGGCTTCTCTCATACTCAAAGCCAAAGTTTATTCGCTATATTTTAACATCCCAGAGATGTGTGGGGAAAATTAGCCTGGTGCTTTAGATATGAGATGGAAAACATAAAAGTGTGCATCCCATAGTTAATCATAAAAGAAGCCCATATAGATTTTCCTTAATTAATCAGGATGGCAAACACAGGTATGCAAATGATGCATGCTGGTGAGGAACAAACATCTTATTACCTTGGTGCTTTACACCTTCAAGCTTCATTCCTGGCTCATAAGAGCAGCCTCCCTCTTTGCTGTTACACAGGAAATCAAAATACAAATTTCACAGCCTCAATAACTTTCCCACGTTGCCAGAACACAGCCCCTGATGGTTTCTGCTCATGTCCAGCTCCAGCACAGTGGCTGTGGAGTCTGGAGCTGCAGGATTTCCACCTGTGGGGTGTGAGGGAGGGATGGGGTCAGGAGGTGCTGCTGGGCACAACCAGGGCAGCTCCAAGGGACGAGGCTGCAGGGCTGGGAGCATTTGCAGGCTGGCAGTGACATCTGCACTGTCACTCAAACACAGAAACATGTTTCCTGCCTCCTGTGGACACATTAATTCAGGAAAACTGATAAGCCTGTTACTCAAGGGAAAGGCTTTTTGAATTTTAAAGGAGCACTGACCACTTTGAAGGGGAGCTCTAAGGTATTTTTACCTTCACTTTCTCTAGTTCTTTGCAAGG